ACAAATACACATATGAACACATGTGCAAGACAGTAGAAAGTATATGTTTCTGCCCTCTGGTTCCACAAAGCTTCTGAAACTCTGGTAAATTCCTAACCAACAAGAGTATCAGGAGCATCTTTTTTCTAATGAGTCATGTCTTAGTGGGTTGCTGTGTGATTTCTGGGTGGGGGCTCGTCACCAGAAAATCCAAGCATATTAGAAGCTTGACATTTTCACCTCTGTCCTTCCCCCACTTCTCTGCAGTCAGTTTTGTGGGAGGGAAAGTGGGGCTGAAATGGAGTTAATGACTTATCATGCCCACATGCATAAATCCCAATTCTATGGGGTTTAGAGCGCTTTCAGGTGGGTGAACATACCCACACTGGGAGGGTGCAGCACCTTAACTTCCACAGAGGGAGAAGCTTCTGCATTCTGGCCCACCCTAGACAGTGCCCTATGTATCTCTGCTTCAGGATGCTTGTCTCATTCCTTACCATTCCTTGGATAAACTGGGAAATGTAAGCAATTGTTTTCCCGGTTCTGTTGAAGGAGGAAAAGAATAGAAAACCTAAAGGAGACATCACAACGTTAAGACCTGACTCACACAAGGAGGTGGGACAGACAGGACTAATATGACCATTAACTCAGCTATACAAATAAATACTCTTAGTGCCTTATCTCAGGGCATATGACCCAAAGAGTTATGAGACTGCTGTAGGGAGTGTAGGAAACAGAGACCTGAGGGTAAAGATATAGAGATTGGACCCATTGTCCTACTGTGAAATCTTTGGTCCTTTTATGATACCATGTAGTTATCCAAAATCAGCCGCAAACAGGCCACTGCATGAAGGAATGAGCCCCTCCCAAAGACAAAGGACTGTATCAGGGCAGTCGCGGTACTAGCTCGGGGCAGTAGCCCTGCCCACCCAGGTGTTTCTTTCCACTCACCCCCTCCCTCCACAGGGCAGCAGTCTTCTGCCTGCCTGTGATCTGTAGCACGTTGGGGCTTCTCTGCACTGACCTCCCTCAGCAGAGGCCGCTCTCCTCAAGGCCACCCGCCTGCGACCATGCAAGCCTCTCTCAGCCAGCCTGTCCCTTGCAGGGCAGCTCTTTCTTCCTGCTCTGTCTATGCAAGTGTTCTTCTCTTTTCTGTCCTTGTTCCTAATAAACTTGCTCTTAAAATATAACTAATGTCTCTGGCTTGCGGGGAAATTCACCTGGGAAACCTGTCGCATGCTGCTGAAAGGAGAGTTCTGGGGAAAACCTTTTCCAGAATAAACCCAAGGATCCCTCACTCCAAACTCATCTCCAAAACTACATCACCGTGAACCTCTATAGTTCATTAAACAAATCCAAGAAAGAGGTCCTGGGGAGCTTTGATTCATAGTCATTAGGCAGAACACAGGATTTGCCACTGGCACCTGAAATCAGGGCCGTCCTGTGGGACTGAGCCCCTAACGTGTGGTTAGGATGCAGTCTCCAGGTAGTTAACATCAAAATAGAATTAAATTTTGGGACATTCAGGGAGAGCAGAGAGTTGCTTAGAGTGGAAAAAAAAAAACTCCCACACACTGGACAACCAGAAATGGAATGTTCTTTGTAAAAGTAAAGGAGACACATAGGAGGGTTATAGTTTTTTCCAATGAGCATGTACACACACACATTGTCCTTTTGTAGAGCGGTGCACACCATGGGAAGTGTGATGGAGTTGGGCTGGCTGAGATGAAAGCACCTCTGGAGTTGGTGTGGTCTGAGAGTCAGGGAAAATAATAGGCCATATTTGTGAGGAAGTATCCTGTGGTGTTAGAGTAGGGTCTGATTGCAGTAAGATGGCCAACTGTATAGCACCGCTATAAGAGAGAAAGTTTTACAAATTCACACACAAAACCTTATTTCATAAAATGTCTTAATTATTCTGTAGTACAGTCTTAAATATAATCATACATATGACACCCCTAAGGTGATTCCACCCACAACATGGGTGGAACATGTTGTCTCTTGGAAACAACTATTTAAATAAGACCAGGGGTCATCCCAGTTGGTGTAATGGGTTAAAGTGCAGC